ACGAAAATAAATATATTTTACGTGCTGTGGTGAAGGGGCATTGCCTAAAACGTCACAGATTATTGTATTTATCTTTAATTCCTTGTCGAAGCCGTTTCGTATCATGTCATCGGTGTGTTCGCTGCACGTCAGTCATAATAATAATTAAACAACAACAGCGGTGCATTTCATTCTGCGTAGTCGCCAGTCAGTCCATCGGCTCCGTCTCGCCAGGCGTAAAATCAGCGATGCACTTTGCCCACGAGGTTGTCTGTCAAACCAACATTTTTAATTCTCCGATCTGAACTTTAAGGCAAATGAACGTGAACACAGCGTCTTACCAGGTGCCTTCTTTTTAGGGGGGCATCCATCGGGAGCCCAATTTAATCGCGAACCGAGGGAGTTGCTGGCTCCGTGTCCTCCTCGCTTGACATGAGCCCAGTTGAGTCGCCCAGCCACCATCAGCATTGCACGCGACCTGCTGTCTGCTACTCTCTACGATGCACACACGCAGAGAGAGAGAGGGCCGGGTGGTCCATTTAGAGATGGGTCACTCACCCGCCCATACCGGACATCTGTGGAGAAGTGCTTCAGAGCTCATCGGATTCCTCCTCCTGCAGCCTCAATGAAGATTCTGATTCTGTTACCCCGCTGCTTTCAAATACTGTCTCCTCAACAGGTGGTTGCATCTATGGGATCCTTTTGCCAATATCAACATATCTAATCTCAATAAAATAATTGAACTCAACTCTGCTAAACTATTTTTAATGTTACCAGGTAAGGCCCACTGAGCTACGCAGCTTATTTTTCAGAAGCGACCGGGTCACAACTAATAGGTCGACGAAGCGGCTTGTCACGTGTAGATTTAGAGCAGCCAAATAATCCAGACATGACGTAATGTTGATGTTAAATGTGGAGGGATTGAGCCTGGGTAGTCAATGGATGGGTGACCGCTACGGCTACGGCTGCTGCTGCTGCTGCTGTAGCGGCTGCCTTGTGGGTAGCACAGGATAGTGGAGAAAGAAATAAAAACAAAGCAATTGTTGGACTGTACTTCTACGCACCCGTGGCTGTGCTCTCTGTCCGTCACGCCCAGGGGTCGGCAACGTGCAGCTCGGAAGCGGCATGCGGTGGCTCTTGAAGGGCCGCTGCTTGGTGACGTTATTCACGTTGCGTTGCGGCTCTTGAAATATTGAGGGTGGGCGGGGGTGTTACAGAATTTGAACAAAAAAGGCCTCTTCTTGTTATTTTTGGTTTCCAAGCCCTGCCCGTGACTGACGTGGGATTGGCCGGGCTCATAATCCAGCAACTGGATTTGACAAAAGGGATGTGCGTATGCGTTGAACACGCACAGAGATCGATTGCATCTCACCCGCTGTCATGAGCGCACCGTCTCTCTCGCATTCATGACAATTGATCCGGGAGCCAGACCTGCCTGTCTGGTCCGTACGTATGCAAGAGCCCTTTTCCAATTGTCTAAATTAATTCACGTCACTTCAGCTCCCGCTGTGCGCCTGACACGTTGTGCACGCGTGCACGGAGGAGCGCCAACATGGTCTGACAGACGGAATGGAGGAGAGAAAGGCAGGAGAGGCAGACATATGCTCCAAATGTCACGATATCTCTCTGGCCTTCTCTGTTTATCTGCTCTGAACAAGGGCCATTGCCTGAAACGTCACCTATGTTTTTTTTATTTCCTTGCAAGGTCGTGGTATTTACGAATGTTGTAGTATACACACGATAACGATTAATTTAATTATCGATTTTAATTCTATTCTGGTGGTTACATGAAGCCACCAAATGTCTCGGTTTGGCATGGCGAGTCCCGCTGGGGTCAAAAAATCTGCCCCCCTATGTCTGTTGTGAACATTGGGATTTTATTCTGATTCGGTTCAAATAATCGTCACCGGTGGTGGCCGTGAGCGGGAATCGAACTCGGGTCGCCAGGTTCATAGCGCAGCGCGCTACCCGCTACACTACAATGCGTTACGCTTCCACGTGCGCGGGTCACATGACATATGTGACGTCACAGCTCACTTGCCGTGCAAAAAAATAAATGCATTATTGAGCCCCCTCCCCTCCCCCCAAAAAAACACAAACGTGTGTTTTAATAATTTTTGCATGGTGTACAGTCTGGAAAGTACCCACATGGCAAATTTCAAGTTTGTTGCATGTCGGGAAGTACGCTAAACATTTTGAACAGACACACATAATCACAACTTTGCATTTTATATATTTGGAGATGAGCAGGGCTCGTGAATGAGTGGGCGTGGTTATGCAGAAGTGGGCGTGGTTATGTAAAGGTGGGCGTGGTTATGTAAAAGGGGCGTGGTTATGTAAAAGGGGCGTGGTTATGCAAAGGTAGGCGTGGTTATGTAAAAGGGGCGTGGTTATGTGAAGGTGGGCGGGGCAGGCGGAGGGAGGGAGGGGCCGCCGGTTGACGATGTGCTCAGGTTGAGCCTTCCAGAAATTCTAGATTTGAAGCTTTCGTGACCGCAAGGATTCATACTCCTGGGTTTTTTCGGTAAAGTCACGTAGGTAAAAATAAATAATAAAATAAGATGTATTTTAACATTTATATACATTAAATTATAAATCATGTGCGAGTATGTATAACGATTGTGCTAACTACGGGAAAGATGGCACATAAAATACAAATGCAATTCTGAAACTACAGACGAGAGGGACAATGCAACGTTTGCAGATGAGAGAGCTCATACGGACAAGGCCGTGTCGACAACACAGAGTAGAGGGCACGCGCACAGGGCAGAAGACCAGAGTAGTGGGCACGCGCACCTCCACGTACGCACGTGTGTATGTACGTTCATCCGTCCAATCGTATGTCTGGACAAAAAACAAAGATCCCCCGTGTAGCCTTAACAGACTGTAGGGGCAAGTGCTGTTAACGAGCAGCATCTATGAAGGCCGGAACGACACACGAAGGGGGTGGGTGGCCAGCACCACGCCCAATGTTTACACACCGCACCGGGTACTCATTTGAGGCTAGGGGAGACCCAGGACCGGTTCAGATGATCGTCGCTGGTGTTGGCCGTGATTGGGAATCGAACCCGAGTCGCCGGGTTCGTAGCGCAGCGTGGCGCTACGAACCCAGCGACACCAACGCTCCTGGACACACGCGCACGCGCACACACGTGCACGCGCGCGTGTGTTGCAGCGAGCAGCCGCGGGTTACCGGTTTACTTCTGCAAGGGACTGAGGGAGGGAGGAAGGGGAGTGATGGTGGTCGGGGTGGCAGTAGGACGGAGTGATGGTAAGAGGGAGGGAGTGGGAGTGATGGAAGGATGGAGGGAGTGGGAGTGATGGAAGGATGGAGGGAGTGGGAGTGATGGAAGGATGGAGGGAGTGGGAGTGATGGAAGGATGGAGGAAGTGATGGAAGGAAGGAGGGAGTGGGAGTGATGGAAGGATGGAGGGAGTGGGAGTGATGGAAGGATGGAGGGAGTGGGAGTGATGGAAGGATGGAGGGAGTGGGAGTGATGGAAGGATGGAGGGAGTGGGAGTGATGGAAGGATGGAGGGAGTGGGAGTGATGGAGGGATGGAGGGAGTGGGAGTGATTGAAGGATGGAGGGAGTGGGAGTGATGGAAGGATGGAGGGAGTGGGAGTGATGGAAGGATGGAGGGAGTGGGAGTGATGGAAGGATGGAGGAAGTGATGGAAGGAAGGAGGGAGTGGGAGTGATGGAAGGATGGAGGGAGTGGGAGTGATGGAAGGATGGAGGGAGTGGGAGTGATGGAAGGATGGAGGGAGTGGGAGTGATGGAAGGATGGAGGGAGTGGGAGTGATGGAAGGATGGAGGGAGTGGGAGTGATGGAGGGATGGAGGAAGTGGGAGTGATGGAAGGATGGAGGGAGTGGGAGTGATGGAGGGATGGAGGGAGTGGGAGTGATGGAAGGATGGAGGGAGTGGGAGTGATGGAAGGATGGAGGGAGTGGGAGTGATGGAAGGATGGAGGAAGTGCTGGAAGGAAGGAGGGAGTGGGAGTGATGGAAGGATGGAGGGAGTGGGAGTGATGGAAGGATGGAGGGAGTGGGAGTGATGGAGGGATGGAGGGAGTGGGAGTGATGGAGGGATGGAGGAAGTGGGAGTGATGGAAGGATGGAGGGAGTGGGAGTGATGGAAGGATGGAGGGAGTGGGAGTGATGGAAGGATGGAGGGAGTGGGAGTGATGGAGGGATGGAGGAAGTGGGAGTGATGGAAGGATGGAGGGAGTGGGAGTGATGGAGGGATGGAGGGAGTGGGAGTGATGGAAGGATGGAGGGAGTGGGAGTGATGGAAGGATGGAGGGAGTGGGAGTGATGCAAGGATGGAGGGAGTTGGGGAGCGTGATGTAGGAGGGAAGGATAAGAATGGAGCATGATGGGAGGAGACAGGAGGGGGATGAAGGTCGGTGGAGGTGAAAGCAGTGATGTAGGGGTGGACAGATGGAGTCAGGGATGGAGTGATGGAGGCAGAGATGGAGTGAGTGATGTAGGAAGAGGGAGGAGAAAGTGATGGAGGGCGAGAGAGGTAAGGGGGGATATAAGCGGTAGGGAGTGATGGGGTGAGTCATGGAGTGCGTAATGGAGAGAATGAGGGATGCATGCAGGGATGGAATTCGTGACAGAGGGAGTATGGAGATAACGAGCCGAATGGCTCACAGGGCGATACCTAATAAATGAACTAATAAATAAATGAACTTGAACTTGAACGAGCGATGGAGTAAGAGGGAGGTGAGGATGAAGGAGGGAGTCAAGGGGCTGACAGGGCCCCTGCCTACCGTCGGGATGAAGGGAGTGAGTGATGTTGTGACAGTGATGGAGAGAGGCAGTGATGGGACGAGACTAGTGATGGACGGAATGCGCGACAGAGTGAGAGCGACGGGAGTGATGTCGTCGGAGGGAGGGAGAGTGGAGCGAGGTTGAGGATGTGGGGGAGGGAGGGAGCGAGGATCGGGGTGCTGCTAACCCTATAAAGGCGCGTGCAGGACGCACGCTGCGCTCATTAAACTCCTCACCTCCATCGCCACGCGCACGGGACCGAGCGCTTCCACACAGACACTGAGAGAGACACAGACACACACACATAGCTCAGATATCCCTGGGTAATACCTTCACCATTCGCCATATAAAGATTGCTCGCTCCATCAACTCGCTCCGCTTCGCTAGAACACTCGTGCAGTCTCGCGGATTCGAGTCTCGCGTGGCTGCGAGGCTCATCCCGCGGCTCGAGATCGGTGGGCGAGCGAGCGAGCGAGCTGGTGGCGAGCTGGTGGTGAGCTGGTGGTGAGCTGATGGTGAGCTGGTGGTGAGCTGCTCTCGTTGTTGCACGTCGCTTTGCGGTGCTGATAACCACGAGGAGACAGCGCGCATCACGCTGCGTGCTGCCCAGGTCTGGCACGGGATTGTCAACTGCGCTCCCTCCTCTTCCTCCTCATCATCATCCTCGTCCTACCTGCTCACCGCTCAGGTGAGTTGCTGCTCCGCGCATTCCATCGCTCGCCGGAACAGGAGGGAAGGCGTTTTCACAATTCTGTTATTGTTGTTATTGTTGTTGTTATTGTTGTTATTGTTGTTGTGATTACCGGCGAAGCGTCACGGTACTCAGATTGTAAATGTCGTCGTGGGTGTACTCTTCAACACACAGCCGGTGTACTGAACTAGTCACTCATTGTCACATTTTGTTTACGTGACAAGCCTTACTAATTGGCTGTGTCGGGTGGTGATGGGTTAACGACACATTCATATTTACGCGATTTAACCCAAAACAAACGTTTACGGATAATATTGGTCGCGAAAGCCGATCGTGTTCAACTCGCAAACAGCTCTCAGCACACACACATCTATATCATCGGCGACGTTTCTAGTAATGGCCCTTCACATGTGGTGCGAAGAAGGACCATTTCCCGAAACGTCGATTGTTGTTTTCCTCTCAAGGAGCGAGTAGTATTGACGAGTTGTTTGTGTTGTTCAGTGTGCTTGTGCACACAGACTGACGGACAGGTAAGCACAGACTGGCGCAGGGAGACTTGTACAGGCGCTGACACGCGTGAAAATCGCATGACACGCACAACTTAACATACTCGCACACATAGGCAGACACGCAGAGACTCACAGACACACGAACTCACAAAGGCAAAAATCCCCCGTGTCGACTTGAACGGACCGTTGGGGCAAGTGCTGTTAGCGAGCCCCTACGAAGGGCGGCACGAGTGGGAAGGTGGGACCAACACCACGCCCGACCGCCTTTGTCTCCTCGGTGCTGATGTTTAACATACCACACCAGGTACTTATTTAAAGGCCAGTTTAAATGTGTCTTACTAATTTGGTCGTGAGCAGGAAATAGAACTGAGGTCGGCGTACACGGAGCGCATTGTGCTAAACACTAGAAAGATCCCCCGTGTAGCCTTAGCAGACTGTTGGGGCAAGTGCTGTTAACAAGCGGCACCTATGAAGGCTGACACGGCACACGAGGGGAGTTGGTGGCCAACACTACGCCCGGCCGCCTTTGTCTCCCTAGGTTGATTCAGCCTCAACATGTACGTTCGAGGCGTAGTCATCCTCGGATCACGGATAATTAAATCGTCATTGGTGTTGGCCATGAGCGGGAATCGAACTCGTGTCGCCGGATTCGTGGCATACACAAATACAACGAAAGAAAGACATACACACAGACACATGCCGTGTCAATGGTATTACACAGACACATGACAGGTGGCAGTACAAACGTGTTAAATTATCTTCCTGAAGGAGACCACTCAGCCGAAACATCGATAACTTTCATTAGAGCAGCCCGAATTAAAAGCACATAATTTGTATGCGTACTGTATAAAACCACCAAAGGCCAGCACATTCGTCAATAGCACGGCCCTGAAAGATTCGGCTTCGCAGCGCAGAGAGGGGAGAGTGTGCAGAGTGATTCACAGTTCATAATCCGCTTCAGTTACATCCGTCAGGGCCGTCCATTGGGGGGGGGGGGGGGGGGGGCCCGGGGCAACCCCCCACCGCGTGGGCCCTCTGCGCCCTCAGACTACCCCCGAAGTCTCACTTCTAACACCGTGACATCGAAGCGCGGAGCCCCCCATAGCGCGGGGCCTGGGGCGGTCGTCCCCTAGGGTACGGCTCTGACACAGATGGTTATTGCCTGTACCCGAGTGTAGGGTGGGCTTGTATGCCCACGCAACTGTGGAGGCCTAGCAGGCGACGTTTCGGACAAAGGTCCTTCACCTGTGTGCGAGACATTGATAATTGTCGAGGCATTGTGAATTGTGCACCACCGCCAAAGGAGTCTCACGACAACACGTGCAGCGTCTGTGTGTGTGCTCAACAAGTCACGGAGAACATGCATTCACATCCACATGAATGATACATCATCGCTGCTTCAGCTATTGCGCAAAGCGTAATTGATGCATTTAAGATAATTTAATTACTCTAGCCTGTGGCCACTTCATAACCGCATTTGAGTTTTAATTTGCAGCGATGTTGTATTGATAAAAGTACCGATTGATGGCTTACACGCGCCTTTAGACGAATATCTCATCACCTGCGTGGAACAGACAGAATATAATTAATGACAATGTGTGGCCCTTCAATCCAATGCTGGATGAACGCCTCCGCATCCCCCGTCCGTCCCGGGTGTTTTTTGACCATAATTCACCACGCGCTGGTCCAGTGCAGGTCGGTGCAGGAAATGAGTGACCAGCAGCGGCTATTGGCTGTGGGGTTGGGGCGAGTCGATCTCAAATGCGGGCGGCCGGGTCGCGTTATTAGCGCCAGTGCGTTAACCGCTGCGCCACCACTCCCCCCCATCCCCCATCCCACGTGTAAACTTCTTTCGCACCGTGCGGAGGCAGCCGCGCCTCATCGGAGGTGCGAAGCAATAATGACGTGCGCGCTGTGGAGCCGTGTTCACACGCCGCTGTGGTTTGCATGCTGCACGTGGTGGTGGTGGTGAGCCCGCAGTGTCGCAGCGTGCGCGCTGAGCCCGGCAAACCAATGACGCGCATCAGCGCTCGGCGGCGTTCTGATGATTCATTATTCAGGCACGGTCAAGACAACTCCCATTTCCGACCGCGGCGGCGTAAGAGAGGAGGCGATTCATCCAGCAGTGGATTGACAAAGACCTGTCAATGTATAATACGGTAGTAGTAGTAGTTATTGTGCTTCGTACATTGTCTTCCAAGCTGTCAGGCCGGCGTGGGAAGAGTAGGCCAAATACCCTCTATAAGGGTTCTCTGGAGCTCCCTCTCGTGGAGCCTCTCTGGCCAGCAGTGGCGAGAGCATGTCATTAATTAATTGTAGGGCCGATCCTTTTACGCGAAATCTGAGTTATAATTTTGGGAACTACGTCTCTGCCTCAACAGGCACAGACAAAGATCCCCCCCCCGTGTAGCCTTTACAGACTGTTGGGGCAAGTGCTGTTAGCGAGCACCAGGGGGTGGGTGGCCAGACCCACGCATGCACGGCTGCCTTTGTTTACTCAGTGGCGATGTTTCCACATCGCACCGGGTTTGAGGCTGAGCCGACCTAGGGGTCGCCTCAGCCTCACCTACAAACGTGCAGCCTATCGCGGGGAGCACGCGCTGGATTACGAATGACAAACGCACACAACAGAAGCGTGGCTTTCCACACGCGAGCTCATTATGCATGCATGGGGCTGAGAGTGCAAAGCAGCCAGGTGTATGTACGAGTCTGATCTGAAGAGGATGTCCTAGGCGACCGCATCTGAATGCATATGGATGACTGCGACTCGGTGACCGCTGTAAATTCTAATGATGTTCGAGAAGGTTCAGGAAGGGCTGTGACATTCTGCCCGCGTTCTTGTCGAGGACGTGCCGACCAACTTCAGGCGAGCTGGAGCGTTCCCAACAACAGTCGCGGTTCTTCTTGGTTCTTCCGGTAAAGTCACGTAAAAGGGAAATAATAAAATAATAAAATAAAACATAATAAAATACAATTCTCACGACATTTCGGCCACAACGCAAGCAGCCGTCCTCAGGTGAAGAACAGATCTGTCGGAAAGACAGCGTCTGAATGAACACCACCCAAGCTTGGCAGCGTATATTTAATACAACAAAATACAATTTTATTTGATTATGTTTTATTTTTATTATTTTATTATTTCCCTTCTACGTGACTTTACCGAAAGAACCAAGAAGATGAATCCCTGCAGTCACGAAAGCTTTAAATCGAAATTTAATATTTTATTGTTACATTTTTATTATTTCCCTTCTACGTGACTTTACCGAAAGAACCAAGAAGATGAATCCCTGCAGTCACGAAAGCTTTAAATAAAAAATTTAGTCGCGGTTCTATTTGGACCAACGCCTGGTGGCGGTGAGCGTCGCGGCACGAAGTTCCCCTTCGACTCCTCGGGGCTCAGCGCCCTTCGACTCCACGAGACTCGCTGTGGGCGCGCCAGCTCGACGAGAGCGACGCGCGAGGCGACACAATGCGGATCACGGCGGCAGTGTGCGACTGTGCAGCGCTTGGTCGATCCACTGCGAGACGGGTTGGCCTCGCCGCGTCGCGTCGGTCACGGTGGTTGGTTGTTTGGCCATACTCCACCACGCTGGTCATGTTAGAACCCGGTTTAAACGCATTTTTGTTTTTGAAAATGTGTCCTGCTGCGTTGGCTTTGGTGAATACGCACCAAAAACAACAACAACAACAACAACACTTTCGTCAACAACACTGCGACGCTTCTGATAAATATATTTATAAGATCGGCAATATTTCGGGCCATTGACCGAAACGTCGCCTATTATATATTTCCGACCCCAATTGGGTGGCGTTGTTATTGTCACGTGTGCCGATTTGACGACAGGCGACTGAAAGCCAAATGCTTGAATCTGGGCGGTGGCAGCAGTTCAGCGCTCTGCGTCCTCGCCGCTGCCGTGGGTCTCGGGCAACTCAGCGGCTGCTCCGCCGGCCCCGTGGCGCGTCCTGTACGGCTCATCTCGCGTGCGCGTCTCTCTCTCTTGTGGGGAGCGGTGGCGCAACGGTTAGCGCGCTGCGCTCGCGAACCCGGCGACCCGAGTTCCATTCCCGTTCACGGCCACCAACACCATTGACGGCGATTATCTGAGCCGGTCCTGGGCCTCCGCTAGGTCGACTCGGCCTCAGATGAGTACCTGGTGCTGTGTGTAGTAAAGATCGCCACCGGGGAGACGCAAGCGGCCGGCCGGCCGAGCGTGGTGTTGGCCCCCCGTCCCCATTCGTGTGCCACGCCGGCCTTCATGGGTTGCTCCTGGCGAAACAGCAGCCTGGCTAAGGCTACACGAGGTGATACTCTTAGGTTTTTTCGGTAAAGTCACGTAGGTAAAAAAAATTAATGAAAATTTATAAAAGTAATAATATAAATAAAATAAAATAATTTTATTAATTTTAATTTTATTTTTTTACCTACGTGACTTTACCGAAAAAACGAAAGCTTCAAATCTAGAATTACACTAGGTGATCTTTGTGCTCTGTGTCTCCCAGACATCAGCTCGCCGAGAGCCCTAAACCGAAGGCTCGAGCAAGGCGAGAGAGGAGTGGGGGGGCCGTCATGATGAGCCTGGCGCCGTCGCGCGAGCCGTCGGCCGGCGTGCCCGCGAAGAACGCCTACCGCATGGTGGTGCTGGGCGCCTCCAAGGTCGGCAAGACGGCGCTCGTGTCGCGCTTCCTGCTCGGCCGCTTCGAGGACGCCTACACCCCCACCATCGAGGACTTCCACCGCAAGCTCTACCGCATCCGCGGGGAGCTCTACCAGCTGGACATCCTCGACACGTCCGGGAACCATCCCTTCCCGGCCATGCGCCGCCTCTGCCTACTCACAGGTACGGCGTGGGGTGGAGACTCGATGCGCTGCTCTTCCTCTCTCTCTCTCCTCTTTCCCGATGGGTTTTTTTCGGGTGGATGCCGCGCGTTGTCCGACGTTTCAGCATGTCAGTGCTGCCGGCTGAGTTTCGCTCCACGCGCTGGGAGCTCAAGTAGGAATCAGCCGATAGATAGAGGGATCCTGGATGTGATGTGCCGGGTGTGGAGATAAATCGTGGCTTAGGTCCCGAGTTGCACCTCCCCACCAAGAGAGCCACCCACTAATACAAGGCCATGAGTACAAACCCTGACACCGACCCTAACTAAGTATTCAACCAGTCACTTGCCCTCCCACTGACCATAACCAACTCGCCTACCAGACACTAGCCCTGCCACCCATCACAACGAGGGAGGGAGGGAGGCAGGGAAGGGGAGTGCATGGGTCAGGATGTACACAAGGTGGTCCTCGCTTCACCGCCGCCAGACCTCGCGGCGGCATCATTACGACGCAGAGACTCAGTCACAGCTCATTCCCCGGGTGCCTTTGTGAGCCGGGCGACCCTGCGGGAGCTGCTCGGGGACTTTGATTCGGCCGCGGCCGCGTGAGACGGAGACGCCCCAATGAAGCGGCGGCGGCGGTGGTGGCGGCGCGGGGGCGATTTGAGATTTGGGCGCCTCCCAAGCACGAGAGGCGTTGGATCGGCCGCTCGCTCAGGAAATAAAAATGGGGAAAATGTTGGCCTCTCGTTCGTGCGGTGGTCGCAAATTGAAACGAGGATCATTTGCATAACGTGAAGTCGTGCATTATCACAGCGGTTTTAATCAAATGTAAATTTACATATTTGTTAAAGGTGTCTGAGCTGCTCAGCTGTTGCAGGCTCAGAACACTGAACCAGCACGGATGCAATCATGGGTTTCAGCCGTCATTAAACTGGGTTCTAAGGTGTAGAGCGTTGATTGTCTTGGCCTGATGATTTTCTTCAATTAATTTAGCAACATTACCAGCTCTAAGAAAACTAGATTTCAGTTTGACATACAGCAGCAGCAACAACAGCAACACACACGTTTGCAGGGCATTCATTGGTGAGCCCCTAGTGTGAATAAAAATGTCTGTGATGAGACTTCAAAAGTAGATCTGTGACATCATCCTGCGGGGGGCAGGGGGGTCATTCTCAAACACGGGGTGATGCACTGCGAGCTGCAGCAATCCAAATGTAAATCTCTCCACCCCACTCGTGCCCCCTCCCCTGCCACCAACCACGCGGCCGGAAAACCGCAACGGACTGTGAAGGCAGAGCGAGAGCGCGCAGAGAGCAACATCGCACTCGCCACACCGGAGTGCCCGGGTCACATAGCAGGCGGCTGAATCGTGGACTCGAACCCATTGGGCTGATGATGACGATGGCGATGGTGGTGGTGGTGATGACGATAGTGATAGTGGTGGTGATGATGACGATGGTGTCGCGCCGTGATGGATCGCTGGAACAAAATGTCCCTTGGCTAAGAGACCTCTAAGCGGAGTGACAGCCACCACACCTTGAACGCGTGGTGTTCATTTCACCAACAGCAAACAGCACACACCTTGGGGTCAGCTGACTTGGATGCAACCAGGGGTAGTGACACAGATGCGCTGCTACTGCTGCCTGGAATAATTTTTTTTTTAATACCGCAGTTGCGACTCCTTGAGTTGGTGGTCTAGACAAGGCTGCGCGTCGTCACGTGCCGGGGATGGGTCACGGTCAAACTCTCCGGGAGCTGTTGACTGTGGATGGAGTTCGCGCTCAGTTCACAGGGCGGCCGGTGAGAGTGAGGCTCCGTGAGCATCCATCAGCATCGCAGAAACAGAGAACAACTTCACCTCTCGATCTGGCAAAAACAAACAAACAAACAAACATCTCAACAGGAAGGTGCAGGTAGGGGTGTGTCGGGGCAGTATGACACGCGCACCCTACGCTACTTGTACACCCGTTGCTTTCCTCCTGATTTAGTTTTTTTCAAAACTCAGATTTGCCGGTTTCTCCGTGTCAGCGCGCCAACCACCGCGCCACCGCTCCACCACCGCCGCCGCCTCTCTCATAGGTTGCGCGCTTAAAGCCTCTCACCGTACGGTCCAATCCGCATTTATCGAGGGTAACTGGGGTGACTCGGGGTGGCCGCTCGTCGTATTTTTGCATCGTCCTCATTTACGCATTATTCATATTTACGCATTTTTCATATTTACGCATTATTCATAAGTCACGTGTTGTTTGTGACGGACACGCGAGTGGGTCGCCTGCACGCGACTCGGCGCCTCCGCGGAGCGCAACGGCGGCCAGAGGCGAAACCCGGGAGGGTACGGAGAGACGGGGGTGGCTGCCCCGGGCCCCGCGATTTGGGGGATGGGGGGGTTAGGGGAGTGGGTTTGGGGAGGGTTGGGAAGGAGTGGGCTTTGGGGGGGGGCTGGGGGAAGTGGGTTTGGGGGGGGGTTGGGGGGATTGGGGGGAGTGGGTTGGGGGGGTTGGGGGAGTGGGTTGGGGGGGGCTGGGGGGAAGTGGGTTTGGGGGGGGGGTTGGGGGGAGTGGGTTTGGGGGGGTTGGGGGGTGGGTTTGAGGGGGGCTGGGGGGAGTGGGTTTGGGGGGGGTGCCCACGCATCGACGTCACGGCGTTAGATGTCATTCTTCTCATGGAGTTTGAAGGCTTCAGTGGGGGGGGGGGGGGGGGTCCACGCGGTGGGGGTTTGCCCCCATGGGCAGCCCTGGCGGGGTGGGCGGCACAATACAGAGGCCGTGCTGCGACCTTGAACTCCGAATTGTTATTCAAGTGGAGCTGCGCCTCTGATGCTGATGCTGCTGCTGCGGTGTTGCAAAGCAGCAGACAGGGAGGGGGTGGAGGACGTCCCGCAGCTCGTCACGAAGGGCGAGTGGCTTGGCCGGCTCACTGCCGCCGCCGCCGCTGCTGCTGCCCCGGTGGAATCGGACTCGTTCTTGTTCATAGCCCCCTCTCTAAAGAGGAACTGCTGATCAATCTGCTGTTACCAGATCCCCGTCTGTCCGTGTGGGAGTCGCGTGGGTGTCAAGCGAGGGAGAGGCTGGTGTGTGGAACGAGAATCATTTAACTCAGTCGGAGGCGAGGGGGGGGGGAGGTGCGTGCGTGTGAGTGTGTAAACGTCGCCACTGGGGAGACAAAGGCGGCCGGGCATGGTTGCTATGCAACCCATCCCGCCACGTGCCGCGTCGACCTTCATAGGCGCTCGCTAACAGCACTTGCCCTAACAGTCTGCCGAGGCTACACGAGGCATCTTTGTCTTTGCATGACCTGCAGCCACTCGTCATGACCAGTCCCCGTGCGCCACCTCTGTCCCCCCCCCCCCCCTGTCCCCCTGCAGGCGACCTGTTCGTGGTCGTCTTCAGCCTCGACAGCCGCGCCTCCTTCGAGGAGGCCAAGCAGCTGCGGCTGCAGATCCTCGAGACGAAGGCGTGCCTCAAGGCCAAGCGGCGCGCGCTCGCGCACGACGCGTGCCGCCCGCTCGTGCTGTGCGGCAACAAGGGCGACCGCGGCGACGCGTGCCGCGAGGTGCCCCGGCGCGAGGCCGAGGAGCTGGTGGAGGGCGACGTCGCCGGCAGCGCCTACTTCGAGATCTCGGCCAAGCGCAACACCGGCGTCGACGAGATGTTCCAGGCGCTGTTCGCGCTCGCGGGGCTGCCCTGGCGAGATGAGCCCCGCGCTGCACCGCAAGCTGTCGGTGAGCTACTGCGAGCTGCTGGCGCGGAAGTCGCTGCTGCAGAGGCGCAAGGGGCGCAGGCGGCCGGCGGCGAGGGAGGGCGGCGGGCCGGAGGAGCGGCCGAGCCGCGTGGAGGAGGAGGAGGCGTGCGGAGCGATCACGCCGTTCGCCCGGCGGCCGAGCGTCAACAGCGACCTCATGTACATCCGCGAGAAGGCGCTGGGGAATTCGCGCGATCGCTGCGTCGTCCAGTGACGTCGTCTTCGTATTCGCGTGCCGTGACGTTTCCCAGTGGAGGAGGAGGAGAGGGGGGGGGGGGTTCTTTCTCACTGGTTGGTACCGGGGTACTGATGTGTGGGCTGGGTGGGCTGGGTGGGTGGGTACAAGGGAATGTGTATTGGTTTTTCGTAAACACAAAAAAAATTCTGGAAAAATGTTGCGTTTTTAACTTTCTCAATTTAGAGAAGAAAACTAAAAAAAGGTGTCCTCTACCTTTGGTTATTTTACTTGCGTGAGTGAGCGTGCGCCTGTCACCTCGTGTGCGAGCTGCGTGCACGGGGGTCGGCGAGCGGAGACCGCGGGAGACACCGATGCCACCCTCGAGCACCGCGTGGTGGGAAAACAAACAAACATCACTCGGCTCTGCGCTGGCAGGAAGCAGATGACGACGCGACAGCCGGGGGCTCCGATCACGAACAGTAAACGTCCCGTGGCAGAGCACGGCTCGGACACAACGACACTCCTCAGCCAAGACGCAAGACGGACAGAGAGAATGCACGAAGAGCGTCTTCAGAGAGAGAACGCGGTTTTTTTTGTAAACGTTGATAATAACTTTGGCAGAGAGGCTGCAGTCGGAGCTTGTTGTGAGAAAACGAAGCTGATGGGCTCCGATCAGCCGCCTCAAGGTGTCGTGGTGAGACAAGTCGAGTGATGTGACGCACGGGCGGGGAGTTTCAGCCGCAAAAGGCAACGAGTTGCCGCTGGACTGGAGCGTAACCGCTTTGTCCGGGTCTCATCAAAACCCAGTGGAGCAGGCTTTGGGCTTTAACGCCATGAGCGGCAGAGATCTGGAGAGGCAGGGGAACGAGAGGATGGACGTGCCTCCTGATCACTCCTTCGCCCTCCACCTCCAGCCTTCTCGCTCCACATAGACACACACACGCACAGATGTACACAGCAACAACAACAGCGACAACAGCTGCCACGTGCCACTCAGTGGCAGTGACGCCACCGCGGCGTTTGTCCCAGGCGAGGTGCGCTTTGAGGCCACGAGATGCCGTGCTTAAGGCTCCCTGGCAGCTGGTCACGGGACACCCCCAGGTGTCACGGGTTAACCGACTGCGATGATTGGCGAATGCGCCACCTCTGCTCTCCCCACGGCGTCACCTTGAGCTGTCGTTGTTGTTGTGAGCAACATCAACAACACAGGCACACGTGGCGCTCTGCCAGTTTTGTGAAATGTAACACTGACGATGGTTGCACCCAAGACCGTTTTCCAGACAAGGCAGTAGAGATTTTGTTATTTTTCATTTCCCGAACGTGGCGCCACTGTGATTTACCTCATCGCCGGCGCTCACAGTGGCATCTAAACTAGAAACGAAACTATTTTTTACTTTAGCAGGTAAAGTCCACGGAGCTATTTCGCTCTTTTTTCAGAAGCGACCTGGCTATCACAAATGATGGATCAACGAAATTGGCAACCAAATAACTCTTGAAGGCGTGATGTTGATTATAAATGTGGAGGGGGGAAACCCGGTAGACCACGGGGAGAGAGAGACGCAAACTCCAAATATATATAGCAGCAGGCGTCAGGGTCGGGATCGAACCCAAACGACCTCCTGTATACCAGGCGAGGTAGTCAACATCTCCTAGCCGCCGCTTTGTCTAAAGCGCTTAAACGAATGCGCCGCAACCCGCGGAGTCTTCAAGCGGCGAGGTGGAACGGCGCCACCACCACCACCATCATCATCATCATCACCACCACCACCATCATCATCATCACCACCACCACCACCATCATCATCATCGCTCTCGCCGCACGAGCTTCACCGGTGGCATTTGACCAGCCGTGCAGCTGAAAGTGTCCACTTTCTACTTTGTATTACAAGTTGTGCTGTTGTTGCTGCTGTTCGTTGTTGTTGTTGTTGGCAATGCTGCGTGTGTTAATGCGTGCGTCGGGGGGAGTTCACCGCATCACCCGTTTGCGGCAAGCGCGCACCGTTTGTCCGGAGCAGGGGCCGGCAACCAAAACGACAAGAAGAGGCGGTTTTTGTTCGAATTCGCTAAAAGCAACAACAACAAAAACCCCGACCTCAATAGTTCAAGTGCGTCCGCAATGCGGTGCGTGTGGCGAACCCGAGCCTGCGGTGGCCCTCTGAGTAGAGGACCGTCACGGCGCAGCAGAGCGGCTCCTGGAGCAGAGAGCCCTGGAGCAGAGAGCCCCGGAGCAGAGAGCCCTGGAGCAGAGAGCCCTGGAGCAGAGAGCCCTGGAGCAGAGAGCCCTGCAGCAGAGAGCCCTGCAGCAGAGAGCCCTGCAGCAGAGAGCCCTGCAGCAGAGAGCCCTGCAGCAGAGAGCCCTGCAGCAGAGAGCCCTGGAGCAGAGAGCCCTGGAGCAGAGAGCCCCGGAGCAGAGAGCCCTGGAGCAGAGAGCCCTGGAGCAGAGAGCCCTGGAGCAGAGAGCCCTGCAGCAGAGAGCCCTGGAGCAGAGAGCCCTGGAGCAGAGAGCCCTGCAGCAGAGAGCCCTGCAGCAGAGAGCCCTGCAGCAGAGAGCCCTGGAGCAGAGAGCCCTGGAGCAGAGAGCCCTGCAGCAGAGAGCCCTGCAGCAGAGAGCCCTGGAGCAGAGAGCCCTGGAGCAGAGAGCCCTGGAGCAGAGAGCCCTGCAGCAGAGAGCCCTGCAGCAGAGAGCCCTGCAGCAGAGAGCCCTGCAGCAGAGAGCCCTGCAGCAGAGAGCCCTGGAGCAGAGAGCCCTGGAGCAGAGAGCCCTGGAGCAGAGAGCCCTGCAGCAGAGAGCCCCGGAGCAGAGAGCCCTGCAGCAGAGAGCCCTGCAGCAGAGAGCCCTGCAGCAGAGAGCCCTGGAGCAGAGAGCCCTGGAGCAGAGAGCCCTGGAGCAGAGAGCCCTGGAGCAGAGAGCCCTGCAGCAGAGAGACCTGCAGCAGAGAGCCCTGGAGCAGAGAGCCCTGGAGCAGAGAGCCCTGGAGCAGAGAGCCCTGCAGCAGAGAGCCCGCGGGGCTGCTGGGCCGGCGGCGTCGCGCGCGACGAGCCGTAACGTCAACCTCGTGGCTTCAGGGGGTTCGGCCTACTCCCTCTGCGTGTGGAGTGCTTCGCTGTGGCGTCGCAGCCGTCGGCGATTGCTGCCGAGTGGAGCTGTTAGCCACCGCGATGAATCTAGAAGGCCAATCGTAAACGAAGTGTAACAACCTCCGTCCATGTCCCATGGCCCAAGGCCGATGCAGCGGTGATCGCTCGATGGACAACAGCCGCGTCGAAGCCACTCGCTCGACGTGGGCGTGCTCCACATTGGCCTGGCAACTGGGGCAGGGGCACTTTGCGCTGTCGCTTTGGCATTCATCCGTGCACGTTGTGACATTAAGCGCGGGGCCGCGTAGGTCAGCGGCTCGCTTGTGTTGTACCAGTGACATTTCAAAGGGGCTATGTTGGCGCGTCAACAAGAGCATTTGCTTCTGCTAACATTGTCCAAATAGCTCTGTGTAAATGTGCGCTCTCGCAACCGCGCGAGACGGAACGAACACACGCACGATGGCAAGGTGGTCGCGAGGAATGCCTCTTATTTTCGGGTCTCTTTGGTGGGTCACAAACTCTTTTAATGAGGCCGGATCAGTGTGGCGTGCGTGTCCTTGTTTACTCTGGTGTTGGCCACCAATCCTCTGCAGCACTTGCCCCAACAGTCTGTTAGAGGCTATACCAGGGATCTTTGTCTTTGTTTACTTATGGGGAGCGGTAATGTAGTGGTTAGCGCGCTGCACTGCGAACCCGGCGACCCGAGTTCGATTCCCGCTCGCTCACGACCAACATCAGTGATAATTATCTGAACGGGTCCTGGGCCTCCCCTAGCTCGACTCGGCCTCAAAACGCGTACCTGGTGCGATGTGTAGTAAACATCGCCACTCGGGACACAAAGGCGGCCGGGCGGGCGTGGCGCTGGCCACCCACGCCCTCGTGTGCCGCTCCGGCCTTCATAGGTGCTCGCTAACAGCACTTGCCCCGAACAGTTTGGTAAGGCTATACGGAGGATCTTTGTCTTTGTGTTCACTCTGGGGAGGGGCGGTGCGGCGTTTTTCGCACTGCGCCACGACGCCGGCGACACGATTTAGTGTCAATCGTGGCCACGGTGGACATCTGAACCGGCCCTGGGGCTCCCCTAGATTGACTCAGCCGTAAATGACTTCCTGGTGCAGCCCGTAAACATCAGCAGCACTGTGGGGAGAGAGCGGTGGCCGTGACGGCCTTCACAGGTGCTCGCCAACAGCACTTGCCCCAACAGGCCTCATGCATGACTGTCAACCCCTTGTCAGTGCCCTACCTTATTACAGAACATTTCAGACCTTATTGGTCACCCCGTGCCCCTATACATCTCAAAGTTCAACCGACAAAGTCTCATCACAAAGGAGAAACACAAACTAATGGACCAAACAAAGGTTGCCCTATTAAAACGGCTGTACGCCGTATGGACCTGAAAACTCAATTTCCCTGTACAAGAATACGGAGTAACCCGGTATGTGTTAACAGCTATGATTACGGGATATCCTCATGTTGTTATTGATGTACAAACATATGCTTATCTTATCGATATTGTTGTATTATTGCTCCAGCTATTACCGCTTGCCTTCTGATGTTACCCACAGCCCCAAATTGAGGTCGGAAACTTCGGGTTAGTACCGGCACTGAAACATTGCAACAGTACAGAGTCCCGAGAATGTATTTAGCCAGCCAAAGCCTCGCCGAGTCTCAGTGAGACCAGACCCAGACGTGTTTCTCCGTCAGCCCACGGTCTATCAACACTGTGCAGTGTTTTTGTAATAAAGTTCAGCACAATACCGACAGATTTTAGTATACTGTGTTGTATATTTCTGCCATCACAATTCCTGCCATCAGAACACGGGTGCCATTTCCTGGACTGCCCAGGTCAAACCTGCACAGGTGGCAACTTTAGTCTCCAGACCCCTTTTTTATCAGGAGCGTCCTGATTCGTTTCGCACAATGATGGCCAGAAGGCCGTACGCTGGAGGATCTTTGTCTTTATTCCAGACCCATCTGCGGTGACCTCAAGCGAGATGAAGG